ACGTTCATATACTGATATATACATATATATATATATATCTCAGTATATGAACATATATATATATATATATGTGTGTGTGTGTGTTTGTGTCTATAAACAATCTGCCCAAACATCCATGTCTGCAGAATGAATTCAGAAGCAAGCGCACGTGCACACCCTGGGAAACTTTATAATCCTGCGTCATAACTCTCGTTCAGGAATGAGTTCATTGATTGCCACTTACGGACTGGCGAGCGTAAGAGTATATTCGGAGGAGCGGATACCTCTTATTGAAAATGTGTGAGGATATGTTGCATTAATTTAGTTTACACAATAGTAGATGTCGTAGCAAAAGATACCGAATATCTTCTCTGCGCTACACAGTCACCAGTAATATAAAAACATGCACGCGTGCACACAGTATATATGAATATGCATAATCAAATGTTTGTATGTCTCTGTTTGTGCCATGCGAGTTTGCAAAAGTGCATCCATTATCTCACTTGTCGCAGAACAATCGAGTGTTCACCAGGTGTATACAACGCAGACAAGGAGTATACTGTAAATGTGTGTGAACAAACATGCGTACAAATGGAAAAAAAATGGTCCTTAAACTACTTATTCAATACGTTCATACACGCTTCAATTAATATAGATTGCTACTTGAGGAAGCAAGATGTGGGACCACCTCGTAGAGGGCAGGCGTATGAGTGCTTCCTATAAATCGAAGATTACCGCAGTTGTTACAGCGATTTAGTCATGCTATGGCTGAAATGCTAAATTTGGATTAATAGTGGCGTCATATTGATTCCCATCGTGTGCAGTTGTGTGCAGGTGCTAGAGAGGGCGCGTGCAACACAAACGCCGGGTACAACAGATCCGTTGTCCACCAAGTTTACAAGGTGTAACCGTTTAGATTAAACATCATATATTTATTAAGTTTCCATTGCGGACATAGGAACCGAAACTGCGGATTCCGGTGGCAGATCTACCATGCATTTCAACATATCCACTAGTTCAGCCCTCTGCGCCCCCTCTACACTTCGCAAATGAAAGTTGGTAAATCGTATGGAAGTGTGATGACAGGCCATCTCATTGATTTTAAACCACATCAACTCACGATATATCTCGAACGTGGTCAACGAAGGGCTTGTGATGTAAGTACTCCGATCATATACGCTTCCATATGTGGGATAGAATATCGGCTGTGGGTTCAGATGTACGCGTTTTGAATGTGGACTCCTCGACCTAAGAATACAACTTGATAATGTGCGCGTAAGGATTGGTTCTGTTACGGTTCGTTTAACTTGGCGGCTACCCGCCGCAGAGTTGTGTGCAACTAATAAGCCCCGTTCGAGTTTACAAGGATGCAAAGCAGGCGACCGCATGGTCGTATTAGCAGATTGTTGAGTTCGATTGTTGAGTACGACATTTCGCTGAGATGATGCTGGCTCTCTGACTCTTCGTATCATACTGTCACTGTTCGATTTACCAAGACGATTCTGGGATGGAATGGGTGACTGGTTGGGCAACAACGGGACAGGTGATTTTTTTGGCACGTGAAGTGGGGCTGGCGATGCTAAAGGCACATAGGAAATACTCCAGTCAGGCAAAAATTCATTTTCATTCCCTTCGTTCACAGTAGCTCGTTCATCGTTATTGCGAATTGGCGGAACCCCCTGTACGCTAGTGGACTTAATAGGAACGGGCTGTGAAGACACCTTCAGGCATGACTTTAACTCGGCTTGTGGTATCGTGCATGTACTTTCTGCGATATCCGACTTCCGTGCGGAAGTTTTGGACACTAGAACATTATTTGAAGAAGTCACACCTGGGATTGTGTTAGATTCAACCACCGCTGATGATCGCGCTGAAGGTCGCGCTGATATGTTTTTCACACGGGAACGTTTTACCTCTTCTCCAAGTTTGTTACTCGATACACGGCCTTGGCCTAGATTGACGTTTTTCAATTTAGAGCATTCGTGTACCAGATCATGAGTACTCTTGCCATCCCCATTACTGCCAGCAAGCGTTTGATTTTCGATCTGAACCAGCGTCTCACACACAAGGAAGTTAGGAATCGTCGCGTGACTATTATTTTTGTCCTTATTAAACATGCGGCGTATACCGGAAAAGTGTTTTGAATGTACCATATTGACAGAAATGTTTTTACAATCACTTGAAATATGGATTCTTTTGTCATGATGTTCATCATCTTTATATACATCACGCGTGTAGCCGTATACAAAACTGCGAAAGTCGAATGAAGTATTTTACTATTTTACAAAATGAATATCTAAAAAGAGTATACCGAATAAAATTTAATCACCACTATTTCGTTATCTGCTATATAACATTCATATTTTGCTTTTTCTATTCATCAAAGAGAGAAAATACTCGGCGATAAAAATTTATAGAAAATATCACGTAATGAAGTAAAGTTCAATAGATTAGAAATTTAGAGTTAAGTACACAAAGGACTAAAGTAAAAATTACTGAAATGAGCGAACATTGCTGCAGGAGTCGTAGAGTGTAGACTGTAGACTGTAGACTGTAGACTATAAATAGAGTATAGATAGTGTAGACTGGATGTAGGACTGCAGTGTAAACTGCAGACTGCAGAGTGCAGACTGTAGACTGCAGACTGAAGAGTGCAGACTGTAGACTGCAGACCAGTGACCAGTCTGCAAAACAAAACAAAAAATACTGGTTTTGTATTTGTTTTTGGTTTTTATTTCTATTATTTAAAACAAATATCAATAAACAAGTTGCGAGACTGTCAACGTCGTGCCTTGTACACATAAATAGTCACATACTGCCACTTTCTTGCCAGTGTCAGTCTGCCAGCGCCAATCTACTAATAATATCAGTAATAATTAAATAATAAACAGCCTATGTAACACAAACTCTCTCTCTCTCTCTGTGGCCTACTGGTGGCCTGTGATGTAGAGTGTAAACTGAAGCGAGGAGAGGCAAAGTTAGTAAAATAAATATATTGCCAATAGAATGCTGAGACTCAGACAGACTCGAATACACTTTAGAAGTCAGGTCTCAGGCCTCAGACTCAGAGCCTCATTCCCTACTCCCCCACAAATGATAACCCCCCCCCCCCCCCAGAGTCATTCAGTCCATCTATCAGTCACTCACAGACTCACTTTGCCAGCAGAGTATAGTAGACTCTATTTAATAGTATTTAAAAATAGATAGAGTAGCCGTTACAGTGTAGCGAATCTCTCTCAACCAGTAGATTAGTAGAGAGAGAGAAAACAAGAGCAACTGAACAGAATACCCAGCGACCCAGACTCCCAGACTCCCAGACCAGACTGGCAGACTCCCAGTCCCAGTCACTCCCACCAGGGAGAGAGAAGCGCGAGGAGAAACTGAGGAGACTGGACTACTGGAGTCTGGACTCTCACTCTGAGTCTGGGACTGGAGTGACAGTAATAAACACTAAACAGTAAAATAGTATATACTATTCTCATCATGTACCTCTTCACAGTGACACTGTGGCAGTCTCTGTCGCTCGTGGAGAGAGAGTTTCTACTCTCTACTCTGTGTGTGTGTGTGTGTGTAGAGAGTAGTCATTACATTACTCTCTATTTAGCTCAAATAATCTGCAGAGTGCAGACCTGACTCTGCAGAATGCAGAATCTGCAGACTGCAGACTGCAGATTTGCAAGTCTACTGCTCAATACGTTTTTTAGTACTATATACGGTCAACGTAAATACAATTTTTACAATAAATAAATCACCGCTAGGAAGCCTCAGGGACTGAAAGCGTATAGTAACAGGGGCAAGCAAGTGACCTAAGAATAGGCAAGATAAATAAATTATATGTATTCACATTTATTTATTTTTAGAAATCAGAAATTCTTGCTTGGGGAGTGTGGATTGGACTATAACTGGGAACTCCAGGGGGGTCTATAAATAGGCAAAAATCCTTCCTGACAGATTTTGCGTATAAACGGACAAAAAATCGGTGACAATGTCGGTAGTGACTTTTTTTTTAAACAGGAAAGCATACGCTTTCAGTGTATAAACGATATATTTATTTATTTTACTAAATACTGTGTTTTTAGGGGTCAAATAATGCACCTATTTACTTCCAACAAAACGAATTAGCTCAAATCAACCAATGAACCTATCTTTAACGACTATTTCTAGCGCCGAAATTTAAAGACCAAAAATGAGGTCACTATGTAATATGACTACACATCATGTGTGAGTACTTCAGCAATGATAGCTCCGAGCCTCCGTGAGGAAGTGAGCGGTGAGCTTTGTTGAGCCATCAGAGATCAGACGACAAATACTACTTTTTTTTTAAGAGAATGGCCTCTTTTGATTTTGAACAATTTCTACAACAAAAAATAGATACTATTAATAGACCAATAGACGTCAGGGACAGGACTCCAACAGTCCTACATACCCTTTACCCATTAAAAAAGGGTTTATAGCTATTTTGGGGTGTTTAAAATATGACTCACGCCTCACATGGCACATGATACTTCGGCTGATGGTTCCTTCAGAAGTTCAGAATTCAGCCAAGAAAAGAGAGTGAGACTCATCACTCAGTCAAGAGACTCAAGACTCAAATCCTGTTTTTTAAACCTTTTTTGATGTTCTATTCTGTTTTCAACCCCCTCCTGAACCAGATATATATAAATAGATCTTATTGGATTTTGTTTTCGTTACATATTGTATATATTTATAATCATTTGAGAACTTTCTTTTTCTTTTTAAATACACATTTCTGACATTGTTGTGTCGTGTCTTTTTAAATCAGCTGAAATCAGGGGTGGGTGCTTTTAGGCCCCTTCGGGTAGGATTGTTCTTTTTAGGAGGCTATGGTTTGCTTTCTGGAGTCGTTTTTATTCTCAATTCTGGATTCCCAATTCTTCAATGAACTTATTCTCACTATTTACAAAAATTTTCAAGTTAAAAATTGTACTTCATCATTTCTGGATTCTGGATTCTCAATTCTGGATTTCATTTGTCTGCTAAAAAATGTATGTCTTGAGTATGTGTCTTTAGTGTCTATTTTTTCATATATAAATATATATATTTACACAATGTGTCTGTTTTTGTCTTTGTATTTTTTTAATATTTTTTTATACAAAATACAACTACAGAAGTTTTCAAACTTCAAACTCAAAGTCGTCAACTCTCGTCATGTCGTCAACTTCAAAACCAAAAAATTTAAGCTTTTGTTTGTTTTGTATTTATCGTTTTTTTTCTTCATAACCTTCTGAAAATTACAACATATTTTTTGTTTTTGTTTTAGTTCATTTTGTAAACTTTTTTTCACTAAATTTGAAAACATCAAGAAAATAAAACTTGATCGCTGTGATGCGTATTTTTTAAAAAGGGGATATTATAGAATAACACAAACAATCCGACGACCCTTCGGATTTCAAAAAAAAACAATGTCCAAAAATTTGAGAATCCGACGAGTCGTCGGAATCCTAAGCACTAGATGTCTAATTTATATTGCACAGAGCCACAGAGCATAATCTACTCTCTCTCTTTTTTGCTTTTCCATTATTTTTAAAACTAACTAGGACTCTCTCTCTCTCTCAGTAGAGAGTGTAGACTAGACTCGAGAGAGAGACACAGATAATCAGACACAGAGACACTGAAGACCTGAGTCTCAGAGACTGAGACACAGAGTCACAGACATACACAGTGCCTGCGTAGCACCGGACAGGCGGACCTGTTTTTCTTTTTAAATTTTCAAACAAAAGTGACTATTTGTGAATTATGACTATGTCTGACTATTGGGGGTTTTTTAAACAAAAATACATACATTTGTAATATCCCTCTTTTGTGAATTATTAGTAATAAAAATGAACCTGTGACAACTGAGTCACTGTCACACTGACCTTTGTGAGGCTCTCTCCTCACAACAAATCTCACATCATGTATTTTTTTTAAATACACTATTCTCTCGCTCTTGCTCTCACTTTCTCTTCTTGTGTGTGTTGTGACTTGTAAAGTTGTGTGTGGGCAGACTGCAGAGTGCAGACTTCCAGACTGCAGACATCACGCACTCTGTTGTGCATTAATTTTGAATTTTCTTTTTGTGGTTCTTTTTAAAAAAATAGAAATATGAATGAATGTTCATTGTGATACTTTCGTGACTCGTGAATCAAAACTCCAGACTCCAGACTCCAGTGTCTAAAAGTCGATATACGAATCTCGACAACGACTGTTGTGTGATGACGAAGAGAGCGACAGGCCGACATCGTAAGCGACAAATAGCTGTATTCAGTCATTTCAGTGTATGTATATTGTATTGACTACCATATTGAGCCGTAGAATGTAGATTAAGATTAAAGACGGACTGAGAGACTCTAAGCCCTAAGGACTTACATCACAAGAAGTCTCAAGACTCAAGACTCAGGACAGGACTTCTACTCTCTAATAGAGTAGTAGTAGTAACAGAGGGCTCAGGTCTCAGGTCTCAGGACTGGAGTCAGGACTCAGGAGTCAACAACTTTGACAAATATCCATATTTGATATTTCATAGCGACCATATTTAGCGCCAACCATATTTAGCGCCACCTGTTTTACTCTGTAGAGACCGACTGACATTCTGACAGTCTGTTATCTGTAGTCTGTACCTTTTTTTAAACTTTTCTAAAACAATACCGGAAAGCACTTTTTTTTTAAATAACAAATACCGGAGGACGGCGTTAGAGCTTCAGGAGACAGGAGTTGAGGTCTTGAGGACTTTGGAGTTTAGGAAGTTCAGGTTGAGCCTTTGAGGCTTGAGGCCTTCAAGTCTTCAACTGGCGTCAAGGAGTTGTATTTGAATTTTCAATGTTTCATTCGAATTTTCAATGTTTCGACGAGAATAGTCAGACTCAGAACTTCAGAAGGCGGAAGAAAAATCTCTCAATTTTATGCTTTTATTTCAATATCTTCTAAAATCGTCTCATTGTTGTTTTTACAAAAAAATAACAAACAAAAACAAAATAGAAAATATTTATTAAAAATGTTTTTTTTTACAAAGAAACATAATTTTTAGCCTTTTACATTTCGACGTTTCTAAATACGAGTCACGACCGCAGGCCGGCGCAGGGCAGCAGGGTCAGCCGGCCAGGGCGCCAGGCCGCCAGCAGCAGCGCAAAGCGTTGCGGACGGGAGACTCGGG